TCCTTCTCCTCCTTCAGGCTCTCAGCTCTAATGTGCCTGCCTCTGGCCACTCCAGCTAGTAACCCCTGCATCACCAACACGGGTTTATACTGGCACTCCACAATAATGATTTTTCTTCTTGTTCACTTGTAGACTTGCTCTGAAGCCTAGAACAGTGTCTCTTGCATAGTAAGCGCACAGCAGATCCCTGCCAGATAAGACAGCATTTTAATTTCACCTCCTTTCCACTATCCACAACTCCTCCCACCCGTCTTGAGCCTAAACTATTGCGAAGCCATTCCAAGGGCTGCAGAGAGGAGCAGAGCTGCTCTTGTCCAGCCCCCTTGGGGGCTGGATGCAGGATGCAGTTCATGGTCAATGCCCACCCACCCTAGAGACTGGCTGCACACTGCCCATTTCTCAGAGCACCCTGCCCACCACAGGCATGCTATCCACCTACATGATGAAGGTAGAATCAAGGCAGGTGATAAAACTGCTCTCAGACTATAAGTACAAAAGGAAAAAAAGAAACATAACTTTCTCTTGGAGGTTTGCAGGGCCTGGACCTTATCTACCCATGTCGCAGTCTGAGCAGAAGTGACAAACTCGAGCTGAGCTCCAAGGCCAGGAGCTCAAGCTGAGCCAGGAGCCTGCAGAGACAGGAGGGGCACCCGGGCTCAGGGCCCCGCCAACAGAGCTCAAAGCCCCAGCGATCTGGGGAGAAGCCGCTTCATACACCTCCGTGCGCGAGCTGCCCTGGACCCAGCCGAGGGACTTCAGCCCAGTCCACTTTCTCTGCCCCCAACCTGCTTCTCAGCCAGTAAATTTAACTGTTTCGTTATCAACTCTGGTCCCGACGATCTATATAACTTCATCCCCTCTCTTCACTGGGGAGGCAGGTTTGAGTTTACTTCCTACTTATTCGCCAGTTGTTTACAATAAATCTTTCTTTTCTCAAAGCCTGGCTTCACAGTGTAAGGGCTTCTATGAATGCTGGACGTCCAGCCCACAGCTCGCTGACCCAGGGACCGTTGCAGGAGCTCAGGCTCCCTCTCTCTGTCCTCGGCCAGTTAGCCTTGCAGCCCCCCCGCCACTTCCTTACGTCCCTGCGACTCAGCTCAGGGTGGTCCTTGGGAAGACCCTGCCTCTCGTGGGTGAGGTCTACAGCTTTCACAGGCATGGCGGCCTCCGCTGTGCCAGTTCCCTCATGGGACTTTCCACCCATCTGCACTCTTGGGTAAGGCCCAGTGGGCCTGGTGCGTGCAGCGTGTGGTCCCTGCCCATCTGCGGTAGAAAAAAGTGCCATGGACCTACATGGAAATCACAAAACATCTGCTCTTCAAAAGACAGTTAAGGAAATGAAATGACGAGCCACAAACGGGGAGGAAATCTCTGCAATGCTCATCTGATAAAGGATCTGTGCCCAGGAAATAAAAAGATCTCTCAAAACTCAACAAAAGAAAACAAATGACCCATCCCCAAAATGGGCAAAATATTCGAAAAGACATTTCACTGAAGAAGATATGCAGATGGCATGTGAAGCACGGGAAAGATGACCTCGTTAGTCAGCTGGAAGTGCGAATTAACATCACAATAAACACCAAACAGTCAATCTGCTGACTAAGGTACCTGTGGGGTTGTGAACACAGGGAGACCCCCTGCACCCAAGGAAGAACAGGACGTACACTGGCGGCTCAGGAACGAACATACACCTGTCTTGGGTCAGCCATCCTACTCCTTGGCATTTACCCAAGAGGAAAGGAAATATATGCACCAGCACAAAGCCTTGTACACAAACGTTCATTGATTTTTAATGGTCAGGAACTGGAGACAGCCCAAGTTTCCATGAACAGGTAACTGGTTAAACACACATTCACACAGTGGATCCATATTCAGGAGTGATTAGAAATAGTTGTGCAGATCGCAAGAAGCAAAGTCAAAAAAGCGTAAATGCTGCACAGTTTAAATTTTATAGAATTCTAGAAAATGCAATCTGATCGACAGTGACGAGGAGCAGGTCAATGGTGGAGGCTGGGAGAGGAGAGGAAGGGGGAGGGATGACCGGGGGTCTCAGGGGTGATGGACAGGTTCTCTTTCTTGATTGTAGCAATGATGGTTTCTAGATGGACATAAGTCAAAACGTACCCATTAGCACTTTAAATATGTGCTGTTTATTGTACATCAACAACAATCATACTTCGATGAAACTTATTTTTTAAGCACCACATCTTCTAGCCAAGATGGGTAAGACTTACCCTCCTAATTTAAGCAACGAGAGCAGGAGGCATCAGACACCGGTCAGGACAACAGGTAGCAATGGAGAGTGACCGTAGGAAACAGACAAGGAGGGCCAAGGACGGCTCAGCTCACAGCTGGGAAGCTTCCAGATCTCAGCAAAGGGGGAGGAAATCAGAGACCCTGGTCTCTGAGATGAGGAGGCAGAGTTCGGAGTTCAACGTGGCCAAGTTGCTAGAAATTCACAGAAGAGGACCAGAGAGGAGGGGCCTACGCAGAGAGGTCTGCTGGAGGGTTCTGTCTGGGGTTCGGCTCAGTCCTCACATGTGCGTGAGGAAATGGAAAGAGCAACTGCATGGAAGCAGCTGGAAACAATCACAGGAATCCCCTGGGGCTGGCAGCGTTCATGTTCCCACTGGAAAGCCCACCAAGCCAAGACCGGCTGTGTTCAATCCACAGAAAGTCACCACCTCAGTAGTTTGCTGGAGAAGGTGATTTCTGAACAGGCAAGCAGAATTTCAATGCCAGTAATGTTGGGGTAGAGAAAAAGGGCAGAAAAGCCCACAAAGAAAGATAAGAAAGTGTCAGACTAGCCAGGTAGGTGTGTTGACACCGACTCAGGGGGTGGTCAGGCTTCCAAAGACGGTCCTTTCTCTGCGAACAGTCACAGGCACAGGGCTGAGCCCTCCTGGCCAACTCTGTGCCAACTGACCCTGACACCCCACAGCGGCCTGATTCTCAGATTCTGCACCAGGCTGGAACAATCCTCACAACTTGCCCAAGAATTTGCAACCTGAATGGAGACAGAGTCCCAAACCTGAGGCTTGCTGGGGCCTCAGTAGGGCCTTTGAGGGAAGAACCCGAGAGGTCAGTTCCCGTCCCACTGTCTTTTCAGTGCCTTCTTGGACCCTTGAGCTGCCCTAGGCTCTTCCTGAAGCTTCTCTTCCATTTAAGTTACTGAGTGGCAGTTTCTGGTGCTTGCAACCAAAAGAACAGTAAAGAGTCAGCGTGAACCATGAGGGCAACTGCAAGGTGATCTCTACGAAAGAATGTTGTCATCAGCTAAAAATGTGAAGCCCTGACCACGTCAAGTGCCCACGAAGGGAGTGAGAATGAGCGCAGGTTGGCAGGGGGGCTCAGCGAGAGAGTGAGTGCATCTTCACACAGAAGTTCCTGGATGCATGACGTGGCTGGATTCTAAATGGCCGAACGGCTGGCCCTGAGGGAGGCTGCGATTTTGGCCACCAGGTGACACACCCAGGTCCCCTGCTCTGGACCTAGGGTTCTTGCTTCAGTACCTCAGTCAGGCAGTGAGCTGTGCTCAGTTCAAGTCTGCTTATCAGACAGGCAGAAAGAGAAGAATTGACAAAAGTTGATGACTAAATGCTGGGATCGAAGGAGGGAAGGAGCTAAAGGTCATGGCAGTTTCAACCTCGCTGGGCAATTTCAACTGAACCAGAAATGGCAGGAAGTATGATGAGGTCAGGGTATATTTTTGGGTGATGAGTGTTGTGCAAAGACATTGTGTCAAGGTGCTGCTGAAACACCTAAGTAGGAAGAATCCAGCTTGCAACTGGTTGGGGTCAGGTGGAAGAGGAGGGCAGAGAAGCCAGAGGCCAGGAGGGGGGGGCAGTCCCAGGCACGCAGGCATCTCATGGAGTTCTGAGGGTGCCTGTGTGCCAGACACGAAGCCAGGAGCTGGAGAGGACGGGAGCCGGGGTGACTGGGACTGTGGAGGGAGACGCCCGCAGGGTTCTGGAATGCCATGCTCTGTTCGCGGGTCTCAGGCTGGGCCTACGGGCATGCGCCTGAGCACAGTGACATACACGTGAGGCGCCATCATGGGCAGTCCTGGCTACAGATGCCAGGAAAAGTGCAGAAATAGTCTCAGTGTCATTCTGCAAAAAGATGGCAGAATAAATATGGCCCAGACATAGGAACAAGGTGGTTCTCCGTGGAGATGAGATGACACACTGAAGTGTGAGGATGTGTGGAGAACAAGGGAAAGCGGGGTAGAGAGGGGCCGGGGAGTCAGCGACACACAGGCGCAGGCGAGGCAGGATCAGGTTGGTGTGCTGCCACCAACGTGTCTGTCTTGGTAAAACCCACACCCCGATGTGCTGGTGAAAAAGCGACACCAGCAGCACTTGACGCAAAGTCTCAGATGTGCTTGGGAGGGGCCAGAGGAACATTCTTGATTTCTTCCTTGAAGAGATTCTGACGTGGAGGTTTCAGAACATGCTGTGTCTGGTCAAGTAGGGCAACACCCCATGGCCGTCCCCCAGGAGAAGTGAATGAATGGACTCCATCCCCCGTCAGCTCGGGAGTCTGGTCCTACCCACGCACTGTCAACACGGGAAGCCAGAGAACCACACCTTTCATCAGAAAGAAACCTGCGCTTCCACACAACCCACCCAGGGTCAATTTTTGCTCTTGCCCAGAGCGAGAAGAGTTAAAAATAGCAAAAGCAAGATTCCAGCATGACTGATCTCACTTGTGACGGCAGGAATGAGGCTGGACGCTCACTGTTGTGGAGCCAGGGGTTGAGAGAAAACCACGGTGTGAATACCATACACGTTCAGCAGTCAACACTCAAGCTCTCCCCCCCAAACTGTCTGAGGAAGCAATCCCTGCGGCTTTCATCCGTACAGAGGCACCCACGATATTCTGAGAAGGCCGAAGAGATTGGGGGGAGTCTGCCGGAAAGGGAATCCTGCAGGAAAGTGGCTCTCCCTACCCACACACGGTGGGCGGCCCGGCCAAGGGAAGGCGAGGCGGTGGCTTACCTTTGTTGTGAGACATGGCATAGAGGAGGCAGAGCACGAAGAGGGCATGGTAATCGTCATCGGGGCTGTCCAGCGCGTGATACACCATCTCCAGGAAGGGCCTGGAGAGAGGGGCACATGTGAGCCTCGAGGAGTGTGTGGTCAACGCCTCCCTCCTCCCGCTGCGTGTGGTATCCTGTGTGCCAGCTGGCACCAGACACGGAGGACACCAGCAGGGACACATGGCTCTGCCTGCAGGAAAGGCAGAGAGCAACTCACTGAATTGGGCTCACTGGGTGTGCCAGGCCCCAGGCACGGTGACACAAAGTCCCTACTCTGGGGGCATGCCCCTGCCACTCAGCAGACAGACCACGTGGTCACTTCAAAGAGTGGCAAGAGGAAGAAGAAATCGGGCAACACGACAGACTAACAAGAGGGCCTTCCAGACAATGACCGCAGGTTTCAAGTACGTGGGCGGGCCCAGCAGTCGGATCCCTGTGTTCAGATCTTGGTTCTGCCTCTTCGCAGCTGCACATCCTTGGGCCAGTTACCTTGAGCCCGAAAGACAGAGATTAAGTCCTTAGGTGGCTACTGTGACGATCTGTGGGAAACGGTGACAGGAAGTCAGAGAGCACAGGCCCAGGCACATCATGGAAGGTGCCAAGGCCCAGAGCAGGGTCTGGTTACCTGGACACCTGTTTGGAATATTCCAAGGCTCACTTAGCCAGGAGCTGACCCAGCAGTTTCTAGAATCAACTTTCCCCAGCTGGTGAGGAGTCTCTCACCTCTGATGCTGTGGTGAGATCCACAGAGTGGCTGCAAATGTTGCCAACCACACACCTCAAATGCTGCCCTCCTAGGGCTGGAAGGGCCTGGCCCAGAAATACTCTCCAACACCAACCAGGTTGACAATAATATGTATAGATCTTCAGAGGCGGGAGTTCCGACCCTGTGACCGCCTGTGGCTGCCCCTGGATACCAGGTAGAAGCCAGAACACAGCACTTGAGTGAGTGAGCAAGAGCACACGGCCTAGGAGAGACACAGACTGCCAACATCGGCCATCTATGGGGAGAGACCCGGGAGCGGCAAAGGAACAGAGAAGTTATTCACCGAGAAGCCTTTTTATATAGTGGCCTTTTTATACTTGTTTGAATTCTGAGTTCCATAAATGCACCAATGATTCAAAGTATTAAAAAGAAAAACTCAAAAGATGCAATCGTGGAAATGTAGTGTCCCAAATAAACACAAGCTGCCCAGGAATGACGGGAGACCCCTGAGCGTGGCCTGTGTGGGCACTGTCGGTGGCGCGCCGGAGCGGGCATCGCCCCTCAGGAGTGTGGGGTTTTACCACGTGAGCGCTGGGGGTTTGTGAGGTCCAATGCTACCACTTGCAAACTTCAGAGGGCGGGGTAAAGTAGAAAACATTTTCTTCTAAACCAGCTGCTTGGGACTGAGATTGTGTCCTCATTCCAGAACAATCAACCGCCCAGCAGCTGAGAGGGGCCGGTGCACCACCCCTAGGAGACGGATTCGCATCTTGTTTACTAGAGTACAGTGGGGTGAAAGATGCTAGGAACGGGCGTCAAACGGAGGAGGAGGAGAAGCGGAACGGTCGGCCCTACTTGGGGGACGGGGCAGAACTCCCACCCAACTCGCTGACAAGTGACTGGAGGGAAAGCAAACGCCGGAACAGCGGCCGTGAACGGTGGGGCCCGGCTGACCCCTCCCCTTTGTGCTCTTCAGGGTTTTCCACATTTTCTGAATGTCTGAATTACACTTACAATTTTAAAGAGATTTTTTTTTTTTAAAGAAAAGCATTCTTTGAAGCGTTTGACTCCTGACGTGGACCAGGATGCAGACACTCTAGCGAACTGCGCGTGTCACCGTGAACCCCAGCAACAGCACACCCCAGCGGCACTCGCCCACTAGGGCTAGTCATTGTGAGCTTTCCAGTGAGTCACCTTCTAGCTAACACTGTGCCTGGCACCTCAAGGTGGTTGGTTTCCTTCCCCCTCTCTGAAAGGGGGTGCAGAGTGATTTAGGGTGATTTCCTCAGTTTCCAGAGCTTCAGGAGTTCATTTTTGCCACCAAGCAAAGTCAGAACGGTCTTTGTAAGTCCCACCCGGGAGCAGCCCCCCTGGGGTGCAGTTTTTCATTTAACAAAAACTAAAAATGGTTCTCCTGTGTGGCTGATAAAAAGTAACCCTGTCAGATCAATGAAATGTGCCAAGCAAAGAGACCGACAAGCTGAAGACGAGCGAAAGAGGACTCCTCAAGCTTCTCTTGAACCAGACTAATAAAGAGACCGGGTGCTCCCTGCAGAGACCACGTGCTGTGCGCTGGGGGGCAGTGGGGTGCTACTGGAGGCTCTGCGGTGGGGGCCCTTGTTGAGGAAATGATGCTGCAGGAAGCCCTGGGAGCAGTGCACTGCCCATCTGCCCCCCTCCCTCCCTCCCACCCGGGAGGCGCAGTGCTCCAGCAAGGCTCCAGGAATCGTGCCATGGCCAAGGTGAGAGGCTGTAGCTCCGGCAGGCCATCAGTGGAATGAGAAATTGGGCAGAAAGGTGACAGTGGACAGTGGCACTGAATCACGCCCGCGTCAGAGAGTCGACCAGACGGGGAGCAGCTGCGCCTCGCCAGGCCGGGACCAGATGGCAGCCCACACCATTCAGGACAGGGCTCGGCCCCAAGGGGCAGCTGGGTGGGGGCAGCTGGTCTCACATGCTCTGCCCAAGGGGTGTCCAGGGCCAGCTCTGTCCCTGTGCCCCTGGGGGCCCCTGCATAAAGGGGCAGGTGGCTTGGCTGTAAGCACTCGTGCCGGCAGGAGCAGCCCGGGACTCTATCGTGAGTGGGCAGTGTGGCGGGCCCAGCACCTCATCCCACAGACCGAGTGGGCCCCAGCCGCAGGCGAGGGTGGCCCGCGGGCACTACCTGTTCCAGGGCGTGGTGTCCAGGCCCGTGGCGGCGCTCTTCTCCTCATCCGTGGTGTTCTGCTCTTGCACCGAGGGGCCGGCTGCTGGCTCCGGGAGCTTGTTGCGCTCCATGATGACCATCTCGATCTCTGAAGCAAACAGATGGAAGAGCGTGGGCAGCATGTCCTCAGAGTGAGATGCAGACACGCTCTTCGTCGAGACTCAACATGTGGCTCCAGCATGTCAGCCGTGTGCAGCGTCGGGAAAGGGCCCGCAGTTAGCAAAAAAAGCATTCACTCACTGACGACATGTCGAACCTTCAGAAAGCCTGACAGGATGGGGGCTTCTCCCTTCCTTCTAGAAGGCAGAGAGGCTGGGAACTTGAGTATTTTTCCCAAGTAAATAAGGGCGGGGGTGGCAACCTGCACACGTTCACTTTCCTGAAGGAGGCGTGAGCCCATAAAGGAAGCATCTGTAAGGCCAGACCGACGCTGGGGTTCTCTGAAGAGTCCCTGGGACAGACTTCACTGGCACACACCGGTTAAGACTTAGGTACTTTTGCTGCTTCAGGCCATCACCCCCATCTTTGGGAGACACATGAGAAAAGGATGGTGATGCAGGTGACCTGTTCCAGAAGGATGGGCGCAAGCCCTGGGCTCCGGCCTGGCCACGCCATCCTCTCCCTCCCCTCATTCCTTTCAGTGCTCTTCTCGCCCTCCTAGCCAACTCCTCTTCAGGAGCAGTCCCTAAGTGCAGCCTGGCTTGAGGAGTGGGCAGGGAGGCCTACCTCCGAGCAGGGAGTGGCCACATGAATGACTGGGGGTTCTTCTGTCTAGGACATCTGCCCCCTCTGCCTCCCCTGATTTTACTTTGGGTGCATGCATGCTACCTGGCGTTTGCAGCCTCTGTACTGGCTGGTTTGTCTGTCTCCACACTGCCAACCCTGTTAGAACACGGGCTTCAGGGAGCAGCACCTGGTCCCTGGTCTGTCTTGATCCCCACTGGGGCTCCACCCCACCCGCCTCCACCCACCTCCTTCAGGTGTATCCACCTCACTGCCTCATGTTTCTGCAAAGTGGGGATGCAGACACCTCAGTGGTACTGAAGATGTGATTCACTGGGCAGTACCTCCTTTCTTTTGAATTATTCTATTTTTTTTAAAAGATTTGTTTATTGGCCCTCCCTGGTGGTGCAGCAGGTTAAAGCACAGGACTGAGAATCTAAAGCCGCTTCCGCATGAGTTC